TGTAATAGATGTCGGTGAATATTAGCCCGGTTGGTCCGGCACTCCTTGGAGGAAACAAATCTAGTTTCCAGAACTTGAAGATGTCCACGGTTGTTCCGGCAATGTTACTTATGCCCGCTGGGAGGGTGTTGAACAACCGCGGACCTCTGATGTTTATACAGTGTTCTCTGATTGTGCCTATGGCACCCCTGCTCTTCACTGGTTTTATTCTGCATTTTCTTCCATTTGCTCCAGTATTTTGTTATTTTACTGTGTAGATTTGGTACTTGGCCCTCCAGTATCTTCCACGTGTATATTATTTGATATCTCTCTCATCTTCTTTCTAGTGAGTACATTTGGAGGGTTTTGAGACGATCTCAATACAGTAATTTAGGTGCTTTATCGCGTCTATGGGTGCCGTATATGTTCTCTGTATTCCCTCTATTTCAGCAATCTCTCCTGCTCTAAAGGGGGAAGTGAGTACTGAGCAGTACTCAAGACGGGACAACACAAGTGACTTGAAGAGTACAACCATTGTGATGGGATCCCTGGATTTGAAAGTTCTCGTAATCCATCCTATCATTTTTCTGGCCGACGCAACATTTGCTTGGTTATGCTCCCTAAATGTTAAGTCGTCAGACATCATTATTCCCAAATCCTTTACATGCGGTTTTCCTACTATGGGCACATTTGATTGTGTTTTGTACCCTGTATTATGTTTAAGGTCCTCATTTTTACCATACCTGAGTACCTGGAATTTTTCTCTGTTAAACATCATGTTATTTTCTGATGCCCAGTCATAAACTTTATTAATATCAGCTTGACGTTTTTCAATGTCTTCAGCTAAGGTAATTTTCATACTGATTTTTGTGTCATCTGCAAAGGATGATACGAAGCTGTGACTTGTATTTTTGTCTATATCTGATATGAGAATAAGGAAAAGCAATGGTGCAAGGACTGTACCCTGAGGTACAGAGCTTTTAACACTTTCGCGCTCTCGGCGCTCAAAAATAAACAATACCCCAGATGCTTTCGGCACTTCGCGCGCCTACGCGGTAAGACCGAAAAGTGTACACTCTTTTGACTGTCCTGACAATAATTGAAGGCGCACGTATTTAAATTTGGTATCACTGTGTTCGCAATGAAATTGTCTATAAGAGCATACCTATAAAATGCCACCCAAGCATAAGGAGTATCAACACCAAATAAAAAACTATGCAGATCACTCGCCGAGAGCGCCAAACAGCAACAAAATGTTTCCACTCTCTTAATGGTTGCGAAGCCTACAGTTGTCCTACATCGCTGATTTTGGTATCATTGGAATCGCAATAAAATTCTCTACACAGACATATGCATATGAATGTTTAATATAGGTAATTGCCCACCTGCAAGAGTGTGTGAAGTGGAGAGTAGTTAGCCGCGAGCGCACTGGCGAAAACACAGGGGGGAAATCATGCTTGGAAAGTTTATACGTTTCCTGACCCTACTTTTCTATATACGTATTTCTTTTTTATACCAATGTGTTCGCAATAAAATTTTCTATAAGATGAACTGTATAACATTTGTACAAAGCATGTGTAAGAGAAGCGCCAAATATAGAACCACGTCGCTCAGTATGCGTTCGCGGCAGAAACGAACGAATTGTTTTCGTTCGTTTGATGTTTGTCATGTTTATACTTGTTGAAACATTTTATAATTTGTATGACAGTGATCGCAGTAAAATTCCCTACACAGACATATACATAACACATACAAATATTTCCCACGTGTTGGATATATCAACGGCTGAAGGGAACCCACTGCCACACGCTCGCCACACCCCCAAACATACTTTGTGTATTTTTTTTTTTACTCATAGAAGTTTATGTGATATAATATTCATTCTGGTACCAAAACATTCGCAAATAAATTCCCTACAAAACAAAAGTATCCCCATCCATTTCGGTTAAAAAATGGAATTTATAGAAATATTTTTTCGATGGACGAGAAAACTCGGCTGTTATGCGGAATCGTAAGAGAAAACGGCGACGAGTTATCTCTAATCTAAAGCGCGAAAGTGTTAACTGCGCTTGGACTCAATTTTATATGGTTGACTGTTACTGAGTTCTGTTTGACAGAAAACTGAGTATCCAGCATCCTACTTTACCAGTTATTCCCATTGACTTCATTTTGTGTGCTATCACTCCATGGTCACATTTATCGAAAGCCTTTGTGAAGTTCGTGTATATCACATCAGCATTCTGTTTTTCTTCTAATGCCTCAGTGACTTTGTTGAAGTGATCAAGTAGCTGTGAGAAGCACGATCTTCCCGCTCAAAATCGATGTAGGCCTGGGTTGTGAAGGTCAATGGTCTCCATGAAATTGGTGACCTGACTCCTAATCACTCTCTCAAATACTTTTATTATGTGAGACTTTAGTGCAACTGGTCTATAATTTTTTGCCAATGCTTTGCTCCCTCTCTTGTGTAGAGGGGCTATGTCTGCTACTTTAAGTGCATCTGGTATCTTTCCCTGTGTCCAAGCTCTTCCTCCACACTATACTGAGTGCCTGTGCTACTGGCACTTTGCATTTCTTTATAAATATTGAATTCCATGAATCTGGACCCAGGGCCGAGTGCATGGGCATGTTTTCAATTTCTGTTTCAAAGTCTAGTACGCTCGTGTTGATATCAGTTATATTTACAGGGGGTCTGGATATCCCACATAAAGAAATTGTCTGGTTCTTCCACTTTCATGTTGTTTATTGGAGTGCTAAACATGTCCTCATACTGCTTTTTTAGGATTTCACTAATTTCTTTGTCATCCTCAGTGTATAAACCTTAACTTGTACGAGTAGGTCCAATATTGGCAGTGGTTTTTGCTTTTGATTTAGCATATGTGAAGAAGTATTTTGGATTTTTCTTTATTTCCTGAATTGCTTTCTGTTCTAACTGCCTTTTTTCAGTTTGATATGAGTGTTTCAATTTCCGCTCGATTTCTTCAATCTCCCTACTTAAATTATTCCTTCTTTGACGGGAAAGTCGTGTCTGCTTAAGAATTTCCGTTATTTTTTTCCTTCTTTTATAGTGTCGTCTGCGTTCTCTTTCGACGTTAGATCTCTTTCTGGTTTTCCTCAAAGGAACATGTTTCAGACAGACTTAATACGCTTCCGAAGTCAGTTTTTCTATTCCTTCTGTAGGACTTGTATTACTTAGAACAGTTTCCCATGGAATGTTTGTAAGTTCCCTGTTTATTTTCTCCCAGTCTATCCTCTTATTATTAAAATTGAATTTACTGACTAACCGCTCTTGCTTGATCAACGTTTTAGGTCTATTCTGAGTATTGATGGTCGTTTGCACTTCAATGAGCTTGTGATCTGAGTACAGTATGTGGTATCTGATATCATAATGTCCCTGATAATGTCTTCATTGTTCGTAAAGACCAGATTTAGAATATTTTCATTTCTCGTTGGCTCTGATATCTACTGGTTGAGTGAAAATTTGTCACAGTATCTAAGTCGTTCTCTAATCTGTGGTTGGTTAGGTCCTGATAGATTTCCTGGGATAATATTATTGTTTGCTATTCTCCATCTGAGACTAGGCAAGTTTAAGTCCTCAACCTCGAGGACCACGAGACCTCGTCGTGGAAAGTTGTAAAGGACAGGGGTCTCAAGAAAACCTTAACAAGGCCGCCTACAGACGCCCTAAGGACTTCAAATTCATTTGCCATGTTGGAAGACGAGTGCTGTGGGAGCTGGAATTGGTGATATTATAAACAACATGAATGATATTATGGCTGGAATTGGGAATAATCCCATTATTTGTATCAGCACAGGAGGAAATGATGATGGTTGAGTTAGGAGTGAGGAACTGATTCAGAGGTATAAAGCAGCCATAGAATTAGTTAAGAGCAAGGGAGGAATCCCGATCATATGTGGTATTCTTCCAAGTGAAGGAGTTGGAAATGAATTACACACAGAAATCACAATAACGTGATGCATCAAATGAACAAATCCACAAGGGCCGTGACGAGGATTCGAACCTGCGTCCGGGAGCATCCCAGACGCTGCCTTAATCGACTGAGCTACGGCATGGTTAAAAGAGTTGAAACCGAAGTTCTACTGAACTTACTGGATCCCGCATCCTCTCCGAGACACAAACCAGAGTTTTACACAACTCCCCCCTGCACTCGAGCTATGTCAACAGGCCGTTCTCCCTCTTCGCCCTTACATCATTACACTCAACTTTTCAACTCTTTTTAACCATGTCGTAGCTCAGTCGATTAAGGCAGCATCTGGGATGCTCCCGGACGTAGGTTCGAATCCTCGTCACGGCCCTTGTGGATTTGTTCATTGGAAATGAATGGTTGACGAGGGCACTTGGTGTCAATTGCCGGCTGGAAAGATATTGCAAATCAAATGCAATATCTTTCATAGATTACTGGAAACACTTCTATGGAAGAAATGAAATGTATGCTCAGGATGGGGTGCATCTATCGAGGGCTGGGGTTGTTGTTGCGAACTCGTTGGAACCAGTGGTTGGAGGCATTTGTTTGGGTTTAAACTGTTATTAGATAGTGGTATGGGAATTGATATGGAGAAAGGTAATAAAAGTATGTGTTTATGGGAGAAAGAAATTGGCAAAATGATCAGGGAAAGATAATTAAATTGTCATGGGTTCGTATCCTGGCCGGGGAGGATTTACTGGGCGCAAATCCTTAACTGTAGCCTCTGTTTAACTCAACAGTAAAATGTGTACTTGGTTGTAACAACGATTCTTCGCGGCGGGGATCGTATTCTAGGGACTTGCCCGAAACGCTACGCGTACTAGTGGCTGTACAAGAATGTAACAACTCTTGTATATATCTCAAAAAAAAAAGAAAGGTCGAGTAACTCACAAAGGGACTCTCGCTCCTGCCACAGACACTGATTACACCTGCACCGCCTGCACCGTTTTTTGCCTGAGGTACCATTTCCTGAGGCAGTGTCTCCTGAAGTACCGTCTACTACGGTACTTGGAATACCGTAACCTACGGTATCTTTACCTGAGGCACCGTATTCTGGTGTACCGTCACGTGAGGTACAGTCTCCCGATGTACCGTCTTCTGAGATGACGTCTGCTCCCCTCGACATCAAAATATAAACATTGTGGCAGTGAACGAGTCTGGCGATCATTTGATCACCAGTGACAACGAACGAGTCTGGCGATCATTTGGTCACCAGTGATAACGAATGAGTCTGGCGATCATTTGATCACCAGTGATAACGAACGAGTCTGGCGATCATTTGATCACCAGTGATAACGAACGAGTCTGGCGATCATTTGATCACCAGTGATAACGAACGAGTCTGGCGATCATTTGATCACCAGTGATAACGAACGAGTCTGGCGATTATTTGATCACCAGTGTAACGGTTCTATTGTTACGTAAAGTATGGTGACAAATAAACACAGACACTAAGATACTATATATATATTTGGTCGAATATACAGAAGTACACAGGTGATACGTTGGTGTGAGTTGAGCGCACTGAGCGTTGGTACAGTATCTCGCAAGTGTCTGCTCTAGACCACACTTGAAAGTAGACTAGTTAATGTTTGCTATTCTTGCCGCTTATATTGCTCGGGCAACACCTCACCGTGCTGCCCGGGCAACGCCTCACCTCATTCATCTCCAAAGGTTGACAGGAATATTAACACTATATTTGGAGCGAGTATATTATTGGGATAATCTACTCGCTACACCAGTGACAACGAACGAGTCTGGTTCACTGCATTCTGATACTCTGCCGACTCAAGCACCTTGCATAGTACAGGACTTACAGCTTGCATTTCTGACTCTTCGTCGCCTCCAGGACAATTCAGCTCTAGCAATCATTCCCTCGTTGTCCTACCAACGTGCCTACAGTACCTATTGTCCTGGTGCCCGAGCCCATCCGCCCCGGATGTAAATGCTCTACCAGCGACCCAAGGATGCAACAATCATGCACATTCTTCTCTCCTGCTACACCGAGCTTGTCCAAACACTGCCTGCATCTTTTGGTACCGGACTACATGTTCCACAGCGACCCAGGGAACAGTAGCCTCGTATTTTTTTTGTATTGTTTTTCTCTCATTCCCTAGCAAGGGGAGTCCTGTAGCGAGTAAACCTTAGACTCGCTTCATTATCTCATTATCTTAATGGCATAACTAATTAGTACTAACTACACAAGCTACAATCCCATCCCTATTTACAGGTAACAGTTCTTCCATCCTCCTCTCCTAGTGTTCTTCCATCCACCTCTCCTAGTGTTCTTCCATCCACCTCTCCTAGTGTTCTTCCATCCACTTCTCCTAGTGTTCTACCATCCACCTCTCCTAGTGTTCTTCCATCCACCTCTCCTAGTGTTCTTCCATCCACCTCTCCTAGTGTTCTTCCATCCACCTCTCCAAGTGTTCTTCCATCCACCTCTCCTAGTGTTCTTCCATCCACCTCTCCAAGTGTTCTTCCATCCACTTCTCCTAGTGTTCTTCCATCCACCTCTCCTAGTGTTCTTCCATCCACCTCTCCAAGTGTTCTTCCATCCACTTCTCCTAGTGTTCTTCCATCCACCTCTCCTAGTGTTCTTCCACCCACCTCTCCTAGTGTTCTTCCATCCACTTCTCCTAGTGTTCTTCCATCCACCTCTCCAAGTGTTCTTCCATCCACTTCTCCTAGTGTTCTTCCATCCACCTCTCCAAGTGTTCTTCCATCCACCTCTCCTAGTGTTCTTCCATCCACCTCTCCAAGTGTTCTTCCATCCACCTCTCCTAGTGTTCTTCCATCCACCTCTCCAAGTGTTCTTCCATCCACCTCTCCTAGTGTTCTTCCATCCACTTCTCCTAGTGTTCTTCCATCCACTTCTCCTAGTGTTCTTCCATCCACCTCTCCTAGTGTTCTTCCATCCACCTCTCCTAGCGTTCTTCCATCCACCTCTCCTAGTGTTCTTCCATCCACCTCTCCTAGTGTTCTTCCATCCACCTCTCCAAGTGTTCTTCCATCCACCTCTCCTAGTGTTCTTCCATCCACCTCTCCTAGTGTTCTTCCATCCACCTCTCCAAGTGTTCTTCCATCCACTTCTCCTAGTGTTCTTCCATCCACCTCTCCTAGTGTTCTTCCATCCACCTCTCCTAGTGTTCTTCCATCCACCTCTCCAAGTGTTCTTCCATCCACCTCTCCTAGTGTTCTTCCATCCACCTCTCCTAGTGTTCTTCCATCCACCTCTCCTAGTGTTCTTCCATCCACCTCTCCTAGTGTTCTTCCATCCACCTCTCCTAGTGTTCTTCCATCCACCTCTCCAAGTGTTCTTCCATCCACCTCTCCTAGTGTTCTTCCATCCACCTCTCCAAGTGTTCTTCCATCCACCTCTCCTAGTGTTCTTCCATCCACCTCTCCTAGTGTTCTTCCATCCACCTCTCCAAGTGTTCTTCCATCCACCTCTCCTAGTGTTCTTCCATCCACCTCTCCTAGTGTTCTTCCATCCACCTCTCCAAGTGTTCTTCCATCCACCTCTCCTAGTGTTCTTCCATCCACCTCTCCAAGTGTTCTTCCATCCACCTCTCCTAGTGTTCTTCCATCCACCTCTCCTAGTGGGAGGAAGCTGAGGTGTAGTCACCGAATATAACCAAGCGAATTGCGAATAGTGAACCACCATCTGGTCACCACTTGGTCCGGGAGACATCTCCCGTCACGCAGGGTGCAGTCGCGCCTCCACAGATCTCCAGTATCAGCTCTTGATACTGGTAATGGCTCAAAAGGGCCACCACTTACGGGCTATTCATGCCCGTGCCACCTTTTCGATGGTTTAATCGTCATCTTGGACACATTCATGGGAGACATCTCCCGTCACGCAGAGTGCACTTGCACCTCCACAGATCTCCAGTATCAGCTCTTGATACTGGTGATGGCTCAAAAGGGCCACCACTTACCAATTCATGCCCGTGCCACCTATTGGGTGGCTTCATCTTCATCTTAACACATTCACAAGGGAGACATCTCCCATCATGCAGGGTGCATTCGCACCTCCACAGATCTCCAGTATCAGCTCTTGATACTGGTAATGGCTTAAAATGGCCAACACTTACGGGCTATTCATGCCCGTGCCACCTTTTGGGTGGCTTAATCTTCATCATCATCATCATCATCGAATAGTGAACACGGGAGACATCTCCCGTCACGCAGGGTGCAGTCGCACCTCCACAGATCTCCAGTATCAGCTCTTGATACTGGTAATGGCTCAAAAGGGCCACCACTTATGGGCTATTCATGCCCGTGCCACCTCTTGGGTGGCTTAATCTTTATCAATCGAATAGTCAACAGTACAATTTCCAGTCAAGAATGTAGCATTCGGTGTAGGCAGTTCTAATCGACCCCCAAGACGCTACAGCTTCGACACAGAACAGACAGCAGACTAGGACCGCATCGAGCTACAACGCTCTCTCACATAGAGCTCCGCGACTCCGGCCAACGTCTACGACACTGCTGTATCCAAGACGACTAAATAAATATGAAAACCCACTATACACTGTGTATCTAATCTACCCAACAACGTAACATAATCGTACGTTACAGCACCTTCACAAGGACATATATCTATCTGCCTTGGAGAAATTTCAACACAGCAACAAGAATCATGTTAAGTCTCCCAGAATTCACCAAGTCAACTCTCATACGGTTGAAGGCCTCAGGACTAACAGGGTCCTGCAATACTGTAATAATACAGGTCATTGTACAAGTAAGTAATTATCAATAGAAGGCACCAAACCGGGAAGGCTATGTATGTAGCACCATCAAATGTGCGGGATAATCAGAGGGCGCTAAATATCACCAGGGATGCCAATACGAGAACAGAAACGCATAAGGCGAACGATATCAAAAGTATCTGAGTCGCCAAGAATTCTATCGAGGGACAGGTGATCGCGGGGGACGGGCGGAAAACAAGACACACACTCGTCCTGGAAGTCAAGACATTCAACAAGGATATGCATGACCGTAAGAGAGACAATGCAATGTGGACAATAAGGAGCAGGGCGGCGCTCCATTAAGTGACCGTGAGTTAAACGGGTATGGCCAATGCGTAACCTAGCCAGAGCAGTTTCCCACCGCCAAGCAGTTTGTTACCAATAACAGAAGACCAACAACTCTGCCAGCGGGCAACGATGGAGGCATGAATAACTGGGTAAAAGTCAGAATAAGGAATACTTTTACGGGAGATGGGACAAGGGCGGATAGCTTCCTTAGCGGCAGCATCCGCACGCTCATTTAAAAGAGACACCAACATGGCTGGGAACCCAGCAAAATGCAACTGACGTAAATCTTCATTGTACAATAATTTCTTGCACATACATATAAAAAAAAATTATTTTATTTTTGTAATTATAATTATAAGGCGTACAATTTAGATGCAATTATTAATGTAAAAAATCTCCGTTGGTCTTATTAAAACCTTTCGTGCCCTCTGTAATTGTTTTTGAGCCACAGATTGATTGATAGAGCTCACACCTCGCAAAAGGAGTAAGTAATTGTAATCAGTGTAAGTAATTTGCGAGAGGGAGCATTCTTTGACCAGAGCATCACTCAATGCATTAATTGTATTTGGCTTCCTGTTGAACTAAAGGTTGCTTGTTCTTTTAACAGCTTCTTGGGTGGGGAAAAGGAGAATAGTAATTTGTCCTATGTGGCAGGAAAGTGGTTGTTCTCTCTTGGTAGAGATGATGAACGTTATACGTTCTGAGTATAGTTGAAGTTTTTGTAATACATTTATGAAGATGCTAATCTACAAGAAGGGTCAGCTTGGAGGGCTTCAGTTCAGTGGGTTAGCTTAAGCACCTTAATACCAATTAAAACATTAATCTCAATGCTATGATCACTTACACATGATTTATTCATGCAGTTCTCGCCTCTTTGGTTAGTAACTCTTAGCTTTATTTGATTTTACATCGGTCACTATTTTGCCATGATGAGAGATTTGTTACCAATATACAAGATCAATTTTGAGCTTTAAATGGCCATGCATTCATGCCGTGGGGTGATTAATAAGGATAGTGCATGTACCTGCTTGTAGTTTTATTTGTACTTAACTTGTGACTATTTAATGGAAATAAGTAAAGTGAAAGGATGTTATATTTAAAATATTATTCATCTATTTACATCATTCACACTTTAACATCACGAATAAAAAACACAGTTCATTGCTCCTAAGGAATTGCAGTTTACAATCCCAAAGCACTTCCACCCAGCTGTGCCTGCTAACATTCCACTGTTGTTCACGCCATCACTTGCTAGTTATAATGGCTTGGCGCTTTCCCCTGACAAATCCCTCCCTCCTCCGGAGCATATAGTTTACTATATGCTCTGTTATTCGCCACCCGAGTCCTGTCGGTCAAACGTCCGCACCGTGCTATATACGCCCCTACACGGTTACCACAACAAAACACACGCCCTTAAGTTTACAAGAAAAAATACTTTAAAGGGAATATATAGATTATCGTAATTCAGATTTGATATCTTCAACGATTGTTATGATCAAAATAAAATAGAAATGGGCTATTACAAATCGTCAAGTGTTGATATCTTGCATTTCAACAACTTTTAGAATTCAGCGCCCCTTCCTTACTGATGTTTAGGTACAGACACACCAGGGGCCTCCTTTAAACCTTATGGTTTAAAAATCAATACAGATGTTTTGAAGCAAACATACTACATCTATATACGTTTTAGCACTGTTTTTTTTTGCTTCTGGGTACATAACTAAGGTATCCTATTCACAGCATACAAAAGTAAATAGATTTTTTATGTTTTAAAGTACCTATACTTTTATTTGAGAATGAAAATATTCCCAGTACAGTTTTCATTAAGTGATTGCAATGTACTACATTGTGAAAATAGCTAATCTATGGTAAATGTAACAATGCTCTTCTTTCAAAGTTAGGCAAAGTTCACAAAATCAGTAAACACGTACATATACCCCTAATATCCAATGTTTACAATTGTCTTAATGCACTAATAAACATGCCAAGCTCATAGGCACTCTCTTAGTAGAATCTAGATCCAGAGGTCAACTTCTGGAACATTACTACTAAATTTTTTTTTGTATGAAGTACACACTCACCCCCATCAGAGCATAAACTGACGAGGGTTTGGCTCATCTTGGACAATTATCCAGTCCTCTTCATAATGGGTTAATGGCTGCATGTCTAATTTTTCAGTCTCTATTTTGACTGCATGGATACAGTACACAGCAGTATTTACATATAAGGACAGTACAGTATTTGCATATACATATGGAACAATTTTCACAGAAGCAAAAGTAAAAGCCATCAAAAGGTAAACTTGTCTTAGATTTGCACATACAATTCAACTTTAAATTGCATTTTAGTGAACAAATCCAACCTCAACAGTTAAAATCATAGTAGGTCAATGCAATAATGGTAATTATCAGAAAGTACAGCTATGAATTAACAGTAAAGTGTTAGCTAAATACACATTATTGCCAAGATAACATAATACTTGGTCTCATACTGAAGGAAGATGAAACAATATAATATATTTTGCTGTTTTTATTATATTTTAAGAAAGCTTGAGTACATTCTCTAGTTTCATAAATGTTCTAAATGCCAGAGTGAATATAATAATAGTAGACTTCAATTTGCCATCCCTATCAATGTGAGATCTCTCCTTAAATCTCTAGAAATGAGAGAAATAAAAAATAGCTTGCAATCTTGTATAAAAAGACAATACATTTTATCTACACAATATTTGGCGCAGAGACCCCCCCGTATATTTCCCCAATATTAGGTACACTTTCTTTCCATGGGAAATGTTGAGGACCCCTTCCTGACCTCCCGGAAGAGCTAATCAGAAGCTCTCGCAGGGCCCGGAAGATGACATTGCTCTTCCTTGGTGGAAAGTTGATCCCTGGAGCCTCGCACCACTGCTTACAACCCACCCACAACACAGTGCTTTAATTGTATTACATACACATCACTGATTACCGTCAATGCTGCATCTATTTTGGAGCGCACGTTGTGTTGGTCGAGTGCAGCAGCAGTGGTGGGTGGCACCCCCCCCCCACAACCCCTATGCGGGTTGCTGGTGTATCTCCACATGCTGTAAGTGTCACTTGGATAAAGCATTCCTGATGCTCCAGGCATCAAATAATGTTGGTACACTGTATTATATAATCTGAAAAAATCTATTTTCTTGTTTGGCTAGAATCCCACACAAGCCATTACATAAAATGCATGGTTCTGTACATTAACTATAAATTATTGTACCACTAAAAGTTAAATTTTGCACAATTTTATTGTTTAAACATACTAGCTAACAGTGCAGCATCCCACTGCAGGAGCAGTGCTTATATTAAAACACCAGATTACTTTTGAACACATAATCTCTCCATGACAGATCATTGTGCTATGAACTTTGTACCTGATCAAAGCTCCTGGACATAATATTAAAATCTAGCACCAACAAGTTACAAGCAGCTGATGAGATATCAACATGAGAAATGCCCAAACACTCAGATCTATGGGCAATTAGTTTTGTTCACTGGGAACCAGGAGCCAAATTCTTTCAACTCTCACACACACACTCCTGCCTGTTTACTCTGAGGAACAGCGCGCCATCACCGACTAGAGTTAGTCTGAGGTGAGCATAAGCAGGACTGCTTATGTCAGCATCTACAATAACAAATATGGATCACTAAATAAAGACAACATTTGTACATGAACATACAAACTAACAATCTTTGGCAATACTCAGACTATGACTGAGATTACAGGTATAACTATATAAACATTTTGTGGAGGATCATGATAAAAGTGGAATGTGGGCTGTACCTCTGTCTCACTATCATCAGAACTCGCTGCAACCCTGCTAGCGTATGCCAGGGAAGAGCTGGCAGCCCTCTGCCGGGGGCGTTCTCTGCCACAACCCAAACCTGGCCCCGCACTCAATCCCGCTATGTCACGGGCATCAAACAATATCACAGTAATAATGGCAGTGTTCGCCAAAGTGAGTCCAGGCACTCACGGCCTTCTCATAATTTACAGGTAGTTTGACTTAATATCTAAGAAGGCTGCAATGTGCCACAGCAATTCTACTTGAGATGCATCAATACACTGCTGTTGCTGATCAGCAATGTCTCCCTGCCCAGTTTATGACATTACTAGACAGGAACACATTTGTCGAACACTGGGTAGGCCTATACCCTGAGATTAGTCAAGTTATTTGTATGACTCAGGGATGGATCATTACTGCAACATGCTAGCCACTGCCTTCAGGAGACCAGGCTTGAGTGATGCTGTAGCCATTTGTGTTGCGGCTTCAGCCGCTACTGTGTAGAGGATGCTGTATCCAGCACCCAAGTCCAACCGAACTCAAGTAAAAAAAAAATATATATATATATAAATTAAAAAAAAAAATTATGGTGGGTCTTCAAAATCCAGGAGGAGAGACAAAGACACATCTCCATACTGAGCCTCTTAAGGATTCCATCCTTCAAGTATTTAAAACATAACTCATTTGGAAGTGCTCCAAATGTATTCCGGACAAGTTACAAAGTTTTAAAGTTTCTTCCGAGCAACGAGAAGTAAATCTGAAATAACTGCATCCACAGCTGCTCCAGAGGCTCGTTCATTACTACAATCAAAAGGGACGGCAAAATATCAAATGATCAATTAAACTTCCCAAAAGCCATGCTACAGAATTCTAGAATTATAATACCTTAATGAACGCAACAGTGCACGTTGCTGTTGCCTGGGCGGTCCAGTGATGTTCAAATACTACATAGCTATCCCTCTGCTGTAAATCTGGCCGAGGCTGTGTTCACCTTACTTCGCCCGGCAACACCACCGCTACAATATATATATTAGACACAAAAGTTAACAGCAGCCCAACCTTGACATTTGGGGCATTTTAGGGATAAATTACGGCTCACAATTGACCTCAGTTTCTGCATCATGTTTGTAACTTACAATCAAAAAAGGGTCTACATTTTCAGTGCTACACAGTGGAACATGGTACGTACTCCATGCTAAAGGTTCAGAGACGAGGCGACATTATTACTATTCAACCCCTTCTCTCGATGCTAATTATCACACAAAAAAGCATAAGAAACGTCCAAGTTTCTTCTCTAAATAACGTCAATATTTGGGTTGTGATGCAGACTTCCAGGCAGTAAACATCAAGACAAATGAGCCTTCAGTCTAAGGTCAACATATTCAGAGAAAAGTTCCAAGCTTGTGACACAAGAAAATTTCAAGTTTTAAAAGAGAACCCCGCATCAACGTGACTCTCGTCACATTTTCAGACAGCAGGGTTTGAATAATGATAACACTTAAAAAGTTTGACTGCTGCTGAAACTTTTTTTTTTCAATGCCACTTTGTGGTCACTTGTTACTGGGTACAAGGATGGAGCAATACACAACTCTAGAAACAGTTTTTTTCAAGTAAACAGTTATAATATCCATTTTCAAGCATTGCTCCAGTCAAAGACTTAACACTGACTCGTGTCAGTACAGGGGAAACTGCCAATCAATAAACGCTTGGTGCCACGGCAGAAGTGGCCTTATAAACTAATAAGGGTTTACACGACCCATCTAAACTAAAAGAAAAAAGCAAACACTGCACTTCCACTAATGGTATAATCCCAGATGTAACAAGTGTTGCACAACGTGGCACGGTGCCGGAGTCTCCGCTGCCGGAGTTCAGTTTCCCCACCAGTCCGTTCCTGAAGCACCGGAGGTGTTGTAATTGTTGTAGCCACCGCCACCTCCGCTGAAGCCTCCATACCCTCCATAGTGATTGAAGTGTGGAGGTGCCGCTGAAATATTCACTAAATATTACTATGTAGAAGGAAAGCCATACGAAAACTTATTATTTTACCACAAACTACCTATCTTTTATACTACATGTTATAAGTATGGTCCAGAAAGCAGTTAAAACACATTCCATCTAAAAAAAATTCCTGTGACTCCTTAAAGACTAAGGAGCCTCTAGCTTAACACGGGACCTTTACTGAAGGCTCTAATATGCTGTATTTAAAAACATTGATGGTAAACAATTTCTCAATACTTTCTAAAAATAATTTAGGTAGCTATGACCAGAAAATACAGTAATCATGGGAATTAATACTTTAATTACTACTATGAAATTATCTGTTATCCTGATAGGCACACTGAAGGCCACTACTAAGATAACATGCAGTACTAACCTCCCCCAAAGCTGTTGAATGTACCACCAGGGCGTGCAGGGCCACCAGCAGTGTGAGGGCCCCCCTTGTTGCGATCCACTTGACGGTAATCGCGAGAGCCAAAACCGCCACCAAATCTCTTCCCGCCACTGCTGCGTCCCCTGCCAGTTCCACCTCCCCAGCGTGACTCCGATGCAATTGCCTCAAGCCATTTGGGTAACTCTTGTTTGGCCTCCTGCAACAGCTCCACCAAGTCACGAACCATGTTACGGTTTTTGTCGTTGAAGAAGCTTGTGGCAAGACCTATGGAAAGAAGAATGAGGAATTATTAAATGAAAAAGACCTTTTAAAATTTTATTAAAAACCCCAGAAATCCTTTTGTATGTCAATAGCCAATAATTAATGAAGTATATCTCAGTTACTCAATGAAAAGTAAATAATTATCAAAAGTAGTAACTGGGATCAAAGTGTTCATAGTTAAGGGGGACTTGTTGGTTAACGACACTTTATAAAGGGTACTTTAAAGGACATAGGAACTATTGTTTGCATGATGAGACAAGGCTAATTGAGGGAAGGTAACAACCAAGTTTAACTTAACTGTCAACGAAAGTAATAAAGATGGAAAAAGTGATGAATACCCAAAGGAAAAGGCAAGGTCTGAAATTGTAGACTTGAGAGAGAATTTAATTTAAGAGCCAAAAGCTCACACTGACAATGTGACTCTCTTGGAACGAACACAATAACAGACTCCAGAAATGAAAACCTTGGATTTTTCTTTTTGAGGTGAATAGTGAACACACAAAGCATACCTTGCAATGTGCCTCGGGTAATATTAATCCCTGTATACAAGATGCAACACCTTGGTGCAAAGCAAATAAATTTCAAATTCTTTCAATACAGTGGAACCTTGGTTTACAAATTTTTTGGGGAGGTTTCCCCAGGAGGATTTCCCTGTGGCTCCCCGAGCTATCCAGGCTGAAATGGATATATTAGACTTTGGCATCAGTGTGAGTGGAATTCTAGGCCTACCAGAGATCACGAGCCAGAACTGGCCCCCATAAGAGTGGCACGAGGAGCATTGGCATGTAGAAACCCATGTGTGGTTGGGAGCATTCTGTCTGCCTTCGACCGGGTTAGGCTAACGATATAATGTGTTCACTCTTTTCACTCTGGTCACCTCAATTTTTCTCCTAGGTCTTTCATTTGGTATCAATGGGTTTGCAATAGAATTCTCTAGAGGAACATTAGCATATAAAATAAAAAACCTGGTCACTCTCCAACCGCCGACGAGTTGAAGACGGGCCACGCGTTAGCCGCGAGTGAGCGCTCAGATGCCTTCCAGCTACACTCCCAATTCCTGCCCTTTTCAAGCCTTTCTTTCGCAAATTTCTTCCTGGAAGGGCCTTGTTCATGATCACTATCCATCGTGGAGTAAGCGTAGATAGTTTCTAAAGCCACAGTAAGAAATATAGCCACGGAAAATAGCCGAAATGTTCACACGTTTGAGATGCGAGGGGAGGCGACATTGGTCACAACAGTGGAGCGAAAACAATGGGCCGACGGGGTGTGCCGAGCCGTCTGCGGGCCACGAGGCGCAACAAGGAAAATAGGAAGACATCGGCGCGTATTTTAAAACCAGTCCCAAAAAAATCGGATAAAAACCTGATTTTTGGCGATTATTTAAAGTGGATGACGCAATGCTGCGTTATCTCCGGCATCACCGACAGTAAACGGATGACGCAATGCTGCGTTATCTCCGGCATCACCGACAGTAAACGGATGACGCAATGCTGCGTCATGCCCGGGCGAAAGTGATAAAATGTAGGTAAAAAAAAAGTCTAGACAGATTCTTAGTAAGACAAGCAAGCAGTGAGCCACAACCAGGTCCTAGTGGCATGCCTGCAAAATGGAGAGAATGTCCCTCAGAAATATCATCAATGCCTGATGTTATAATGGAAGGAGACTCCCCTCCCAAACATTAACATCACTCCTCCCCCTCCCCTTCACCATCTTCCATATGCCAAAGAAAGTCCTCAGTAAAGGTAAGGTACCTGTATAGTAAAAAAAAACATCGAGTAGTATTCTGTATAAAACATATTTTAAAGTTTTTTTGAGATATATACAAGAGTTGTTACATTCTTGTACAGCCATTACTGTCATATTTTTGGGTGTAAGGAACAGATTAATTCCATTTATATTATTTCTTCGGAGAAAACCAGTTTTGGTTTACGGATTTTTCACGTACGAACCATCTCTTAGAACGGATTAAATTCGTAAACCCAGGTGCCACTGTACTGTTAAAATGTCTTCCCCCCTGAACACGGGGAATGGGAAGGAGGGAATTATCACGGAAAATTGTCGAGTCATTATGACTATATAGTACTGGGAAGGGGTCACAATAAGGATTTGGGATCAGGCAGGGAAAATGGAAGAGAAAAACAAAAATATTGTGACAGTTTGGCTGTGGTGAAAACAAAATGTCTTGCGATTCACAAGCATTCCTTGGGAGGAGTTTGCCCCGTGGCAGTAGCAGGCATCCTCACCATGGGGTTGTAGTTGCCAAGAAGATATTTTCAGATATTTACCGTATTTCAATGTCTACAATGATTTGTTTTAGGCCACATGGGCCATGACTAGGATTCCAACCTACGTCCGAGAGCATTCCAGACGCTGCCTTAATCGAAAGCTACGACATGGTAAAAGAATTGCAACCAGAAATTCTACTGAATTTACTTGTCTCTTGTTCTTGAAGTTCCGGGTCTCAGGAATTCTCCCGTTAATTTTATTGATTCCCGATACTATCTTGTATGTAGTGACCATATCACCTCTTTTTTCTTCCATCTTCTAGTTTTGGCATAGTCAATGCCTCTAACCTCTCCTCATAGCTCTTGTCCTTCAGTTCTGGGAGCCACTTAGTAGCATGTCTTTGCACCTTTTCCAGTTTGTTGATGTGCTTCTTAACACTTTCGCGCTTTAGATTAGAGATAACTCGTCGCCGTTTTCTCTTACGATTCCGCATAACAGCCTACTTTTCTCGTCCATCGAAAAAATATTTCTATAAATTCCATTTTTTAACCGAAATGGATGGGGATACTTTTGTTTTGTAGGGAATTTATTTGCGAATGTTTTGGTACCAGAATGAATATTATATCACAAACTTCTATGAGTAAAAAAAAAAATACACAAAGTATGTTTGGGGGTGTGGCGAGCGTGTGGCAGTGGGTTCCCTTTAACCGTTGATATATCCAACACGTGGGAAATATTTGTATGTGTTATGTATATGTCTGTGTAGGGAATTTTACTGCGATCACTGTCATACAAATTATAAAATGTTTCAACAAGTATAAACATGACAAACATCAAACGAACGAAAACAATGCGTTCGTTTCTGCCGCGAACGCATACTGAGCGACGTGGTTCTCTATTTGGCGCTTCTCTTACACATGCTTTGTACAAATGTTATACAGTTCATCTTATAGAAAATTTTATTGCGAACACATTGGTATAAAAAAGAAATACGTACATAGAAAAGTAGGGTCAGGAAACGTATAAACTTTCCAAGCATGATTTCCCCCCTGTGTTTTCGCCAGTGCGCTCGCGGCTAACTACTCTCCACTTCACACACTCTTGCGGGTGGGCAATTGCCTATATTAAACATTCACATGCATATGTCCGTGTAGAGAATTTTATTGTGATTCCAATGATACCAAAATTAGCGATGTAGGACAACTGTAGGCTTCGCAACCATTAAGAGAGTGGAAACATTTTGTTGCTGTTTGGCACTCTCGGCGAGTGATCTGCATAGTTTTTTATTTGGTGTTGATACTCCTTATGCTTGGGCGGCATTTTATAGGTATGCTCTTATAGACAATTTCATTGCGAACACAGTGATACCAAATTTAAATACGTGCGCCTTCAATTATTGTCAGGACAGTCAAAAGAGTGTACACTTTTCGGTCTTACCGCGTAGGTGCGCGAAGTGCCGAAAGCATCTGGGGTATTGTTTTTTTTGAGCGCCGAGAGCGCGAAAGTGTTAAGATATGGGCACCACACAACCGCAGCATATTCTAGCTTTGGCCCAACAAAAGTCGTGAACAATTTCTTTAGTATATCGCCATCCATGTATTTAAAAGCAATTCTGAAGTTAGAAAGCGTGGCATAGGCATACTATTTAATAATATTGCTGAAAAAATGAATCAATCAGATATTGAAATAATTAGGCAATACAGTACCATCTTTGTGGCAACTCCCGCCTGACAGCTCGGGTGGAGGAGACCGACCTCGGACGCCTCCTCTGTCAGCGACTGAATCTTGCCAGACTTCCTCACCATATTGCAGCCAAAATATGTCACCTTCAATTTAGTTATTTTTCCTGTGATCAGGGACCACATTTTAACAATCTTAGATTTGTTGTTTTTTGCAGGCACAGCAGCGTTGTCAACTATTAGCAGTGCTGCCCAGGGGTTAAGTGATGGGGTTACTTAAAAAAAAAAAAAAAAAAACTGGCACCATTATTTTTTTGAGGAATCGGATGCGAGCCCTGTGTACCCAACGGCAGTTTCAAATCTTGCATGGAACTTTAAAATGGCTCCAGGCATGTTGTGCAGTGGAAAGGTTTATAGAGTAGGAAGATACCAGATTGTAGTTTGATCCACTTCAATTAACCGACTAGCAACCTAGAGCAATATTTGTATCTTAAAAAAACAACAACAACCAAACCATAAAGGAGATACTCTCACTTACCAAGATTGCCCATACGGCCAGTACGACCGATTCGGTGAACATATTCTTCTATGTCTGAAGGTAGGTCAAAATTGATGACGTGTTTAACGTGTGGAATGTCCAAACCACGAGCTGCAACCTGAAAACATAGATTCTCTCATTAACCTTGACATGTGAAACTGGCCGAGCCTTACCTTCACCAACAAATCTAATAAAGTCTTGATACTTTGCCTGGCCCGGCGGGCCACCAGCAGCACACCGTAAAGTAGGCCAGACGTCGCCCGTGAGCACACAACCCAATGTAAAACTCTCACTCACAAGGTTTATACTTACTAACATGAATAAGCAAAAATTAATTCATGGCGGCATTAACGTCATCTCACGAACTGTGTGCCGTTTTAATGACTACGTGAACGTCATCCTCACGCTAAGTATTAAGCTGCGCCCTGAGTTTTGCTTATCGATACATATCCTATACCTAAACGACTGCTTAAGAAAACGTCAATACAACACGATTTAGGTTTAAATTTTTCAAAAGTAAAAATCTTCCCAATCTGTACCTGAGAAAGTACAGTAATTTCACAAGTAGAGTGCAACTTCTGTTTAGCAATATGGGACCAGGCTCCAATTTGTTGCAACCAGAGATGCTTCCAGGAGGCATTTGCAAGATCTTTTCTTTACACAATAATAAAACCCCCTAAATTGTTTCTTGTAATGTTGCGTTCATCATGCTTTTAATGATTTGCATAGATTGGAGCCATATTGTGTTACCATTTATACCCTAATATTTCCCATGCTCTATGGGCTGATTTCAGTGAAATTTAAAATTTCAACCTGTCATATGAACGACACCTACCTAGACAACCAGTCTACAAGAGATTCAGCCACATCTACCATATTTCCCATGCCCTAGCTGCAAAATCTTTTCTTTTTAAAGGAAAAAGGGTCCATATTTTACCGAATGACAACTTTTGCAAACAGAATTTAAAAAATAATCATAGAATTTGTTTTATGCTCAAAGCTTTCCCAAGACCCCCTAACTCTTACCAAAATGGCATCACTTACTTTATTTTCAAGTGTGTGGGGCTGGTTGTCTTTATTTTCAGCCCCATTACTGTGCCTTAACACTTTCGCGCTTTAGATTAGAGATAACTCGTCACCGTTTTTCTTACGATTCCGCATAACAGCCTACTTTTCTCGTCCATCGAAAAAATATTTCTATAAATTCCATTTTTTAACCGAAATGGATGGGGATACTCTCAGATTTTTCTCCATGAAATTCCCGTTCTCCCTCACCGAACACATGGCATCTCGGCCTACCCGGTCACGTGGTCGGCCCATTGTTTTGTTGACACGCCAAGTGCCCATACTGTGCTCCCCTCTCGCGGCAAACGTGACCCATTTTACGCATTTATTTCTGTTCCGTTTCCGTTCTCGTGTACCTAAAACCCATTCAATACCTTCAACATGGATGCTGCACCAGGAACAAGCAGTGGAACGCAAAACAAAGGTAGGAAATCTAGGAAAGCAGAAGAGATCGCCAGGATTTTCGATCTGTATCGTGGGGTCAATCTCACTCCATCCAAGATTCCCGACGTTGTTGAAGCCTTTTCAGGGTCTTCTGATGATGATTTGGAGGCTGACGAACCGGAAAATGATGTGCTTTATGAGGTTTCCACAAGTGATGATGATATTTCGAGTGAGAGTAAGGATGAGTGATGAAGAAGCCCCAGCCCCGCCACGCGGTAACCGCACGTGTCCGGTACCAAAGAGGGCTAGGTTGGGTGACGAGTGGAATCGTAGCAATACTCCTCCCATCGTTGATGACTTTATTGCAACCCCTGGCCTAACAATTCCACTACCTGCTACTCCTTTGCAGTTTTTACAATTATTTTTCACTAGAGCAGTGGTTGAATACTTAGCGTATGAAACAAATTTGCATGCCACACACGTCATACATCTCATGGCTGAGTCAGCAAGAAAAACGTGGAAACCAGTGTCGGTGAAAGAAATGGCCCGATATTTGGCCCTGTGCATACTGATGGGCATAGTGAAGATGCCTACAATGAGGATGTACTGGCAGACGAATCAGATGTGGCATTGTCGATTCTTCAACTTGTTTATGTCGTCTGCTCGGTTCCAACACATTTCTAAGTTCTTCCACATGTATAACAAAAAAGGCGTTCCAATGAAAAATAGTGACCGATTGATAAAAGTTAGACCACTAATGGACTATTTTTCAGAAAAATTTGAATCTGTATATATCCCCAAAAAAGAATTGAGTCTCGATGAGGGTACAATGGCACGGCGCGGCCGCCTCTCTTTCAAGGTCTACAATCCCAACAAGCCTGATAAATATGGTGTAAAATTTTATATGTTGGCCGAAGGGAAATCAGGCTACATATATAAATTTGATGTGTATTGTGGAATTGGAAAAACGACAGTGGAAACCGTGATGGGGTTGATGGCGCCCCTAGTCAACAAGGGTTATCATTTGTATATGGACAACTACTATAACTCGGTAAGCCTAACAGAACAATTACGTGAAGTGGGTGTTTACACATGTGGCACACTTAGACTCCAACGTGGCGCCCCCAAGGACCTGCAACAAGTGGTAAAGGGTAAAATGGCAACCGACACGACCGTATACATGCGTAAGGATAACACCTTTGTTATAGTTTGGAAGGACAAGCGCCCCGTCTCTGTCATCACCAATATCCACAATGCCGACACTACTCAAGCACAGCGCAGGAAACGCGTTCGTAAACGTGACGGGAGAACTGGAGTAGAAATAGTGAAAATGAACAAACCCAAGGCCATAGTGGATTACAATAAGTTCATGAAAGGTGTTGATCATTTTGATCAAATGGTCAAATATTATGAGTTTGCAAGAAAAACCCACAAATGGACCAAGAAGATCACTTTCTATTTTCTGCAAATGGCCATGCACAATGCATACGCATTGTATAACCACTACTCAACAGATACAAAAAAACTAACACTATTAGAGTTTCACGCAGTAGGAATAAAAGCCTTATTGGCGTGGAACAGCGAGGAATGGCCAACAACAAGTATACCACATGTTCCCGACATAGGTGCCAGCGCAGCTCCTCCTGCTGACGCGGCAGTTTCAACACCCGGCACATCTGGTGCGAGGCGTCCTCTGTTCACCTCAACACCTCAAGCCCACTCATCAACCACAAATTCTGAAATGGACATTGAGGACATAGAACCACTTGATGTTTCCGATTTCATAGAAGATTCTACTACAAGTTTGGTGGTTCCTGTAGAAGACAATATTCCTCCAGTACATCCAAGAAATACAAGAATTATAGATTCAGAACAACGTCTCAACTACAAGTTGACGCATGAACTCGTGCACTTGACTAAAAAAAGAAGATGCCGTGTTTGTTACAAGTCTGGCAAAAGGAGGGATGTGATATATGGATGTAAAACTTGTGATGTGGCACTGTGCGCTGCGCCTTGCTACACAAGGTACCACCGAAGAAAGATATTTTGGGTGGAGAAAAAATAACCACCGGCAACAGCTTCACTCCACCTAAGAAACATCAGATGAGCAACTTCAGGATCAGAAGCCTGAAGATGGTGGAGTGAAGAAAAAATGCTCAACTGTTGATCTTCAATCAACATAGACAGGGTAAGTACACCCATTTGGAATTTTTTATCATCTATAAGAAGTTATATTATATACGTTTTGTAGAGAATTTATTTGCGAATTTTTGGTACCAGAATGAATATTATATCACAAACTTCTATGAGTAAAAAAAAAAAAAAAAAAAAAAAACACAGTATGTTTGGGGGTGTGGTGGGTGTGGCTCTGGGTGTGGCGGGCGTGTGGCAGTGGGTTCCCTTTAGCCGTTGATATATCCAACACGTGGGAAATATTTGTATGTGTTATGTATATGTCTGTGTAGGGAATTTTACTGCGATCACTCATACAAATTATAAAATGTTTCAACAAGTATAAACATGACAAACATCAAACGAACGAAAACAATACGTTCGTTTCTGCCGCGAACGCATACTGAGCGACGTGGTTCTATATTTGGCGCTTCTCTTACACATGCTTTGTACAAATGTTATACATTTCATCTTATAGAAAATTTTATTGCGAACACATTGGTATAAAAAAGAAATACGTACATAGAAAAGTAGGGTCAGGAAACGTATAAATGTACAAACTTTCCAAGCATGATTTCCCCCCTGTGTTTTCGCCAGTGCGCTCGCGGCTAACTACTCTCCACTTCACACACTCTTGCGGGTGGGCAATTACCTATATTAAACATTCATATGCATATGTCCGTGTAGAGAATTTGATTGCGATTCCAATGATACCAAAATTAGCGATGTAGGACAACTGTAGGCTTCGCAACCATTAAGAGAGTGGAAACATTTTGTTGCTGTTTGGCGCTCTCGGCGAGTGATCTGCATAGTTTTTTATTTGGGGTTGATACTCCTTAAGCTTGGGCAGAATTTTATAGGTATGCTCTTATAGACAATTTCATTGCGAACACAGTGATACCAAATTTAAATATGTGCGCCTTCAATTATTGTCAGGACAGTCAAAAGAGAGTACACTTTTTCGGTCTTACCGCGTAGGTGCGCGAAGTGCCGAAAGCATCTGGGGAATTGATTTTTTTTGAGCGCCGAGAGCGCGAAAGTGTTAATATCTATGCATGATACACTACCACAGCCAACAATATTATACCAAGTCCATTCCATTGCAGTGTGCTATGATACAAACTTAGTGACAGCATTTATGTATGTTCTGCATGTACTCACTGATGATATTAATGTACTTCAAAACTATGTACAGTATTTAGGAAATAATGTCCATGTAACTATACCTAACTAAATAAACCTAGCCAAGCTATCATAAATAAAGTGATAGACTGAAGCAATAAATGATGGGAGCAGCCATAAATATAAGGTGTAAGGCTAAGGTGTACATTATGTATGACAGTCAGGCCGGCAACAAGTCTCTTGCCATTCTCACAATGGCTCCCATCACTCCACCCTCCCACCCTCCACTGTTTCATACTTCTCTATATCCACCTATCTCTACTCTTCATCCAGATAATCAGCCCATCCACACTACTTTACCCAAAAGCAACAAATACATGATTTTGTTGTATCCAATAAATAGCGAGGTAAATTTGTTGTGTTGAATGAACATAGTGGAGTACATGTGTCAACACTTCTCTACTTAACAACCAACCCAAACCTTTACCTTAAATAAATTGCCAAGTACTATTTTTTTTCCTTTAACAATAAGAGCTACAAATAACAGCAAATTTACAGCATTAAAAAAAAAAAAAAAAAAAAAAAAAAAAAGTGCAGTTAGGTGCTGCAAACTCTGGTTAGCTTTACTCCATACAGCAAATTTTTATATTTACTTCACTTGCCAAATATACACTATCTCACTTTTACTTGAAAGATTGAAGAAATAAAATATTAATGCAGAAATTGCAACTAAACATTTGATGCAAATAAATGGTCTACAGTTAAGGTTACAGTCTACTAAGGTTAAGAGGCATGCGTTGTGGTGTACACTGGTAATCAGCTAGCTTGGACAGGTCACAGAGATAGGTACTAGAAGAGGAAGGCCAAATATGGAGAGAGCAATTGTAGTGTAAGTGATGCATGTGACATGCCAAGGAACACCACTATGTGAGGGTCTAAATGCATGTGTGCTGAACATTACAATTCAAGAGTACCATTACACTTCCAAATAATTAGATTTACTTACCGCAGTGGCAACAAGGATGGGACACTGGCCCGAGCGGAAAACACGGAGAGCATCCTCTCGCTCACGTTGACTGCGGTCCCCGTGGATACTTGTGACTGGATAACCATGACGGTACAAGAACTCTTCAAGAGCATCTGCCCCTTTCTTTGTCTCCACAAACACTAAGGTCAAGGATTCTGTGAGGAACATGTGATGCTTAGTTCTCTACTACAGCACATACAGTAAAAATTAATGGGCATGCATTATAGCTGAATATTACCTAATATAAAACACACCACAAAGTGTGAGATAAAATTAAAGCACGTCCCTTCTACACCTAAAGTCTGATATGGTTACATGAAAGCCACTGTCCAATTCTACTCCATATAATTGATAAACTACTAATACATGTTCATATAAACTAAGAGAAAATTTTGATATTTCATGGGAATCCAAGACAAGTGGTTTGGAGTAGAATGGTTGGCAACAAGCTACTTTGATAAAAATAAAATAAAATCAAAAGAATAAAAAGGGATCGCTATTTCTTACAACAAATTGCTTTATAATAAAAGCAGAAGAGAAGCATGGGTACTAGAAAATATTACCTTCTTTAGGAGAGGGTACACCCATGGCCAATTTTTCATCTGCAATGAAACCTTCGTTTACAAGAATGTATTCTACGTTTACACACAGTGGTAAGTATGTAAGTTAAAGGGTATACACAGGGATAAACAAGACTTTTTCACTTACAAGATGAACTCAAGAAATTAAAATTTTGATGTGATTTGAGCACTGTTCAGCATTTAAGCTTGCCTAGTGTGCATGACCAGTGGTATAATGGATTACTTGTCAAAACAACTAGACTGGTAATGGCATATCATTGACTTAAGCCATTTTTGTGATGGCCGAAACAACCATCATTAATTATTTCAATTATATAAATTTTTTCAAGATTAAATGAAAGCCTGTTTCTCCCTTGCAAGTTAGACTGTCACTTCGGTACAATCAAACAGCATAGTAACTAGCCACACTTTACAAACCACAATACTAGTAGTGTGTAAGTTAAATGAACTTACAAAGCACAGCAAACATCAGTCTTGAATCAAATACAGTATTTACATTTAAATAGGCACCCACTTCTCTCTCTCAAGCTATTTAACAATCTTGTATAAATGGGATTAAAAAAATAATTAAAACCTGAAAGCTTGTAAAAATATATTAAAGAGCAGTAGTGGTCACAAAGCAACATAATGCTAACACTAACAGACTGGCTGCTCTAAAGACATGACAGTAAGCATGAACAACAGGCATTACCTGACAAGAGCAAGAATGGTCCTAGAAAAAAGCCTTAATCTTATAACAAGGCAAGAATTATTTGGGTCTACCTGGGTCAAGGTCTTAATGATTTGTTGTATTTTTACAGGAAAAATTGAAATGTCAAAAGAAGCAGTACACAGCCCTGACTATAAGCCGATTCATCCCTAACTGTAGTCAACACATTTAAGTAATTATGTTATACTTCCAACAGAAATACTGTATTATTATTTATTTTAAGTTCAGATATTTTACCATTTTGTTCTATGGTGAAAAATCTTTGTCACGACAAAGTGTCACTATTCTCACGTCATATAATATTCTAAACAAACCTCGACACAAAGCACATCACACACACATCACACTGAAGCCACATGAGCACATCACGTATCTGCAAACACATGAACCTCTGACCCACCCTGCCCCAAATAAAACATACAGAAAGACCACAGTATTATATATTTGTAGGGATACAAGTTTTTGGCAGTTAGAATATATAAATATTTTTATAATACTGTTAAAATAAATACTGGACCAATTTTGGCATTACTAAATGAGCAGGAAAGGAGTTAACCAAATAAAAAGAACATTTTTCTAATCTGCACCAGCCTTTCCCACAATCTAGTGAACACATGTATTTGCATAGGAGAGGGCTTTCTACAAAAAGATATCCACTTTGATTGAGAGGCCAAGCCAAATATCCATCTTGTAAGCAAAAAATAAACACACACACACACACACACACAAGAAGAGAAATACTCACCCTTGGTCGCTTCATTCAGACGGTCTAAGCCAGCAGCATTGAGGATGTCCAAGAGGAAGGAGCGCTTATCGTCTTCAGCGACCCAAACAATCTTCTGTGTGATATTTTCTGATGTTGATCCAACACGTCCCACCGCCAAGAAAATGTAATTGTCCAAGAAATCCTAGAAAGAAATATATTTTTATTAGGTGCACTTGGATAAACCATACTTTGATATTCTTATGTAAATTATCCAAACCCATCTTTCCAGAATGAATAGTACTTGTAGTAACTATTTGGTCGATAGTACTGTTTCAATGTAGTATAGGACCACCAAAAGTAATCACTTCACTGCAGTAACACAAAATGTAATTTGTGTACTGAAGTTGGCCAACTGGAAATTTTGTTAACGGCAACATACTTGTAGAACCTAACCTAACCATATAGTAATCCTAGGCCTAATATACTCAATGTACGTGCTATACTAGGTTTTAGCTTCATTTTTTCTGGACTATAATATTAAAAGTACAAAACTTAACTTCTTGCTGGTCCATCACTACATATTGGTACTTTTGAACAGTGACACTAAGTATTGCCATTTTAGAGTATGTGAGTATTGTATGGGAAGACTAACTGGGGGTGGAGAGTTGTAGTGATATTTCAGTATTAAGAATTTGGGCGGAGCTTACAAGTTCAGGTGGTGACCGGGAAGGTATGATTGGGTTATTTGTATGGGCAGCTAATTTAACCAGAGAAAGCAGGTTAATGTGTTAATTATTATTAGCGTATATTTATGCAATTAAATTGGAAAAACCCAACTGCCTTTAATCACCTTCCATACGGGCTTTCATTGAGTTCCTGTATAAATCTAGTGGTACGCCTCAATGTTCTGGTGTAGAGAATTACATGGTTGAGATAACAGCTCCAAGGGCAAGGGCATTATAGCTGTGTAATCGTTGTGTCTGGAATGAACCTGGGTTCAGCGATCACGACACCCCAAGACATAAGTTTTAATGGGTACCACATCCTATGTTGTGGACCAACTGTTATAATTAGCACAGCTTGAGATGAACAGGTCCCCAGGGACTTCTATCTTATTGATCAGTCATCACAGCATACACGAACTTGGATTACGTTAAAGCAAATTTTTTTTAACCTTCCATAATAAAATCCAAATACAGTACTTTAGTTATATTAACAAAAAAAAAAAAAACCAGCGTTGAATGTAATGAAACGCCATTTTCTGGGTGAGATCTGGAGGCTCCCCGGAGCTTACTAGGCTGATATGTTAATGTCAGAATTTGGCATCAGTCATGTGTATGGAGTTCTGTGGCCTACCGAGGACCACGAGCCAGAACCTGTCCCCCTCAGAGAGGCAAGGGGAGCAATGGCCTATAGACACCCCCGGGTGGTTGGAAACATTCTATGTCTGCCATGGACCGGGTCAGGCACCCAGAAACGTAAGAGTCCCAAAACAACCCCCTATTCTGGTGAAAATATTGCCACCAAAAGCCCGACTACGGAAACCCAGGGGAACATGCACCAGGGGACACCGGTGGAAGGAGAGCCCAATGAGCCAGAGAAACACTGGAAAGAAGGAAGCAGTGGCAGAGTAGGAGATAAACGGAACACATGAGGAAGCGATGTGGTGGAGGACACATCACACAGCTACCAGCAGAGACACGAGAGCCCAGCAGGCACAGAAACCCACACAGCAGCAAATGACAGGTGAGAAACGGGACCAAAAAGCCAGAGCTCATCTCCCACAAACACAACCAGGGAAGCACAGAGAAACCAGTGTACTGTAACCACGCGATTATCCGGGATTCGAACATCCGGAAAACGCCCTTATATGGCCAAAATCGTGACTGGATAAAGTTCTCAATATCCGGCCAAAATGGCCACAGGAGCCGGATAAAAGATGGTTTAGCCGGATAATTATTGAATTGTCTGGATATGAAAGCCACGGGGCGGGCCGTACTGTATTAATCCCGTCTGCCTGTGGCTTGAGGCGCATGGTGGAGGAGGGGAGCGTCAAGAGGGACCACCTGGGTACAGGAATTACAATTAATTTTATAACAATTCATCATAGGAGGTGTAAAGAGGAAGAAGGTTGTCCTAACAATTAAAGACAAGATACTGTTATACACATCAACCAGTGAGGCGTCACAGGCAAGCCAAGTGCCTTCAACCAGTGAGGCTTCAGCAGCTGGCAGTCAAAACTAACTTAGCTTAATGAACTGTACAGTAATTTTAAGTGTTAATTTTAGTGTTGTGTTAGTATAGGTTACGTAAATTGTTAAAGAGTTCTTAACTTCAAGATGTGTGGCATCAATCAAGAAGACGAACACCAACAAGGTAAGTTGAGGTTTTTAGTTGAATATTTAATAATTATATGTGGCAAGGCAATTCAAATTATGTTGTTTGTAGTATAAAAATAGTTGGAAATGGCCACTTTTGGACTCGTAGGTGAAAAAGTACCATTATCCGAAACACGTGATTATTTGGCTGGAGGTCCTTCCCATAGTCCGGATGATCGAGTGGAGACTATACGGAAGGGCTAAGCCAGGCACTGTAAGGTGGGCCAAACAAAACTCCACAACCAATCCCCAACACTCAACCACAGTAAGAAAACTGCAGCAAAATGTCACCTCATAACATCCTGACACAGTAATATGTACCCCATAACATACACCCCCACCATCGTACCTCGTAACCTGGCGGAGGAGGGGCCCTGTGCCGGACTCGAGCATGGGCTGTACATGCATAAGAATGGGACTGGATGGGTACAAACAGGAGCTGCCTCATAAGGCCCAAGGGGCTTGCTGCAGTCACCTGTGTTCCGATGTTCGTATATTCGTAGCCAAAAACCATGAACCAGCGCTCAGCTGAAAGAGATGCCAGACCGCAGAAACTCACCTGCAGAATGTAGGCACGAATGTGTCACGACACAACGTAGCCGAGAAGATGTCTGGAGTACCGCCAATGAAAGAAGGCAAAGCCGCACATGCAGGAGAAGAGTAGGGAAGAGGCGAAGAAGGACACCCACACCCATATGCAGGGAAAACCTGGCATTCTCCCCATAGTGGCAAACCAAAACACCCCCAGTAGCAACGGGCACGGACTGGAGAATTGAGAAGAGTGAGAGGCGTAACAGCCGAGAGAAAAGGACGAAGAACACCAGCACACGTGCACACTGCCCACATCAAAACAAACCACGGCGCATGCAGGGGTGCCAAATGTGAATCACGAGAAGTCGTGAGCCAATGAAAAAAAAAACACGAAATTCACTAGAAAACTAGACAAAATAGTGTAGATAATGATTGAATCCCTTTTTCAGAGCACACAGGGCAGCCGTTAACAGGAGATGAAAAGAGCAGGAGCGAAACAGAGCATAACATTTCTGTGGCTATAAGGAGCCCAAACGGGCTATGAGCCCAATCTGGCAACCCTGGGCAGCGCAGGACAGTGCACAGAGAGAAGAAACAATCACGAAAAAACAAGACAGTATAAAAAAACTAAGAAGCACGGAATAGGATCAACGAGTCCAAAAAGGAACGGTGGGAAGCCTCACCGGAAGACGACAAACGTTCCAAAATGCGGGAAGAATCAGAGACCTTCCCGAACCCCCGAGACCCCACAGAAGCAAACAATATCACAAAGGCTCAGAAAGGCAGTCTCACCCGAGACCAAAAGACACGCAGAAATTCCTCCATGATGGAGAAGTCCTGCCCCAGAGAAAAAGGGTAGAAACAAATAAAAGTACCCACCGATAGGACAGAACCAAATGGACCCGAATTACAATTTGACTACAATTCGAACCTGGGGAGGGGCCGATGCTCCAAAACTTTTACGCAGAGGGGGAAGGAAAAACCCAACTCCCCACAACTGCAAGCCCTGCACGGAGGGTAGATAACCCTGGCGGGGTCCAACGAGGCCTGAGGCCCCCCAAGTCAGCCTCTCCCCAACCCCGGGGGCGAGCCCTCTCCCCAACCCCGGGGGCGAGCCCTCTCCCCAACCCCGGGGGCGAGCCCTCTCCCCAAAGCCCCAGTCTCAAAAGAAAAGGCCGGGGCAGCCGGAAAGTTACTAAGGAAGTTACTACTACTCGTATCTATGTTGGTAACAGAGAATGTCATAACAACATGGCTGAAGACAGGATGACCAAACCACACATCATGAACATGGAGAAATGACGACGTTTCGATCCGTCATGGACCCTTATTAAATCCATCATCCTCTCGTACAACTTGACAATGGGTCCAGGACAGACCAAAATGTCATCGTTTTGGTCATGCCTGAAATTATATATATATATATAATGCCCCCTCAAAATTAACCTGTGCTAGGCGTTGAATCTCCTTTGGGAAAGTGGCGGAGAACATAAGTGTCTGTCGCTGTCCAGTGGGAGGCATGTTGTCCTCTTCAACGATTCTACGAATCTGGGGCTCGAAACCCATGTCCAGCATGCGGTCAGCCTCATCAAGTACCAGGTATCTGAGGTCGAAATCAGTTAATTAATTAATTAAATACCAAATATTTGGGAGGGCTATCATTTAAGTACTAAGTGTTTGGGATGGGTATCACTTAAATACCAAGTGTTTGGGATGGGTATCACTTAAATACCAAGTGTTTGGGATGGGTATCACTTAAATACCAAGTGTTTGGGATGGGTATCACTTAAATACCAAGTGTTTGGGGGTATCACTTAAATACCAAGGGGGATATCACTTAAATACCAAGTGTTTGGGATGGGTATCACTTAAATACCAAGTGTTTGGGATGGGTATCACTTAAATACCAAGTGTTTGGGATGGGTATCACTTAAATACCAAGTGTTTGGGATGGGTATCACTTAAATACCATGTGTTTGGGATGGGTATCACTTAAATACCATGTGTTTGGGATGGGTATCACTTAAATACCAAGTACAGTAGTTACAATGGACAGCATGGCAATAGAATCAACCATTTGGGATGGAGAGCATGGTAATTTGGCAACAGGTTATCTGGGATAATTATGAGTGTATGGAATTTTGTATAAATATTTAAGAAATCACTACTAGCAATACTCAAGAGCATAGGTTCGAATCCTCATCCCGGCCCCTATGGATTTTCACACCTTAGGATAATGTTAAAACATTAACCATTGTAATTACCCCAACACACAAGAAAATTAAAATAAAGTTATTTAATTATACACTTGTGGATAAATCCATAGAAAGGTAATTTTTCTTTGGCCAGGGTGGCAATTTTGATGATACAGAACATTGAGGATACTCTATATTACCTTTTTTCTGCCACTGACGTTGTTTAGTTTATACATAATTTCATCGTTTTGGACAATGTGATTCAATTTTTTATTAGCGATCAATTGATCAGGAAAATGGCCAGACACAGGTATGCTGATTAATTAAAAGTATTGAGTTGCTACTGGCAGCACGTGAAATACGTCTACCAAGTTAATAATGAATGAAAACCAACTTGCCCAAATTCCATCGAGAGTATTAAGGAAAACACTTTATTTAGTCTCACTTGCAAGAATCCAAGCCAATCTTGCCACGATCAATCATATCAGCAAGACGACCAGGTGTAGCAACAAGCAGATGACAGCCACGGGACAAATCTCTCATCTGTGAGACCACATCTGCACCACCATACACCACACAAGGCCGCACTCTAGCCCTGAAACACAAACATTATCCACTTTCATTTACTAAATTATGGTTACACATGCTTATTTTCTCTGCCATAATTCATGTTTAAGAAAAAACAAGAATTATAACCAAGGATCACTGGGAAATTATTATTATAATAAAATTCTTGCAATTCATCTAAAACTTATACTTGCAAATCAAATTAATCTTACATAATAAAACATTTCTCAACCCAACTCAAATCTTATACTAAACATGAACATTTTCAGGTAAAACCAGGGAAGGGGGATGGGGGGGTAGAAATAGCCCAAGCTACTCTAACCCTTTGAGATGTATTTTTGTCTTGTCTCAATAAACATACTTGAACTTTTCAGGTAAAACAATTAATCAAACATATTAACAAATTATAATGTATGACCATTGAAAGCTCAAGAGTACATTGAACAAAAGTGATGCTTCACCATCATGCAGGGAGGTGAATTCTGGAGTAACAAGCAGAAAACTAAACGGCTTTCATAATGCCAGATGTTACCCGTATATAACTTCTATTAGGGTACAATATACATACAATATTTTCAGTATTATTTTACTTCCTCATTTCCAATTTAATGTTGGAAGATATCATATGAGAGAAAAAAAGGCAACTAATAAACTACAGGTTACAGCAAGGATTCTTTGACGTCTTTACAATGACTGAACTAGCAGTATAGTCACCCTATATCCACACCCTGTGAAGCACAAAACAACTTGAGAATATTCGGTCATTTCCAAACTAGACTATCAGCATTGAGAGGCTCACCCAGATAGGGTAATATCTGCATTTATTAATCAAGTAAAAGACAAACAAATCAAACAACTTTACCCCAAAAGCTAAACGCTTCTTAATATGCACTACAAGAGCGCCACGGGCCAGGCAGAATCCCTCAAGCATTCAAGCACACTTGGAAAACCTTACTAGCATGAAAACTATTATTAAGTGGTTTAATAGCATTAAAACTACTAAGTAGTATACTAGCATTAAAACAATTACTAAGCAGAATATAGTACTAGCATTATAACCATTACTAGGCATTGAGAGGCGGGGACCAAAGAGCCAGAGCTCAACCCCCGCAAGCACAACTAGGTGAGTAAGCAGAATACAGTACTAGCATTATAATCATTACTAGGCAACATACTACCATTATAACCATTACTAGGCAACATACTACCATTATAATCATTACTAGGCAACATACTACCATTATAACCATTACTAGGCAACATACTACCATTATAACCATTACTAGGCAACATACTACCATTATAACCATTACTAGGCAACATACTACCATTATAACCATTACTGATATCTTGCACAGTCTTTCCCCAAGCATTCACCCATACAAAAGAGAGTCAGTCTGTTATATAACTTTCTTTCACTATTATTCTCATTCTTTCTCTATGACTCCTCCATTTACATGTACTGAAAAATATAAAATACATCCAGGGACGTTAAGCAACTGTTAGAAACTAACATACCTATAAGAAAATTTCCTAGATTCGTCGTATATTTGAGTTGCCAACTCGCGAGTAGGTGCCAAAACTAGCGCAAGTGGGTACTGCTTACTTCGGCCCCGGGGATTATTGTTCTTGATCTGAAGAAACAATTTACACAAATTAGTTACTGTTGACTGGATGAACATGGATTAGTGCAATTACAGTGAAGGTCATAATGAGCATTTAGTTAATGACACATTAGGGATAACACTATTACATGCAACAATCACTGGTATATGAACAATATTTTAACTTGAACATCTACAATAAGAATTCAACCAAATATTGAAAACTGCATGTCAAGTATTGACTGTTGCTTAACTCACCTGAACAGGACCCTGCTCGTAAATTTGGTTAAGAATGGGCACCAAGAACGCTGCAGTTTTTCCAGAGCCAGTTTGGGCACAGGCCATTAGATCTCTCTTGGCAAGGATGAAGGGTAGGGCATATTTCTGAGAAAGATAACAATTCCTAACTTAGAACAATGTTGCATCTCAAAATGACAAAATGACAATTGTGACACTCATTACCAAAATAAAAAGTTATCATTAAAGTAAACAAGGTAACCAACTTTATATTAATTATAAATATACATAAATAATAGTTTATAATTTGATAATGCATTTGATTAGTGTATTTTCCAGACAAAATATATTTTCCTTAAAATATAATTATCAACACCATGCAACATACCTGAACAGGTGTGGGTCTATCGTAACGAGCTAAGCTTATGTTCATCTTAATGATTTCTGTTAGTTTAATATCTGCAAAGGTGCCGATTGCCACGGGGACATCATCACCGGTGGCCTCCACAGGAATGTCATCATATTTGTCAAAGTTGATACCACTGTTAGACTGAAAAATAAATCTTGTATTAAACCCTCAAAATGTTGGGAAGAATATGTAATCAAATAAGCAGGAAGTGTACATATCAAAAAACAATTTTAAAACGTTCCTAGCATAATGCTGTACACAATGAAATTCCAAGAATGTGATTAATCTATGAATAAATATTGAGGCTGCAGGATGAAATAGAATCCACGGTATCTGACGAGTTCAGGGATGTGGATTATATTCCCTTGTACAGCTTCAATAATTATTCAGTGTACACATTATATATATATATATATATATATATATATATATATATATATATATATATATATACAGAGTTCTTCGTCGTACCTAGTAGCCAGAACGCACTTGTCAGCCTACTATGCAAGGCCCGATTTGCCTAATAAGACAAGTTTTCATGAATTAATTGTTTTTCGACTACCTAACCTAACTTTTTCTGCTACCTAACCTAACCTAACCTATAAAGATAGGTTAGGTTAGGTTAGGTAGGGTTGGTTAGGTTCGGTCATATATCTACGTTAATTTAACTCCAATAAAAAAAAATTGTCCTCATACACAATGAAATGGGTAGCTTTATCATGTCATAAGAAAAAAATTAGAGAAAAAATATTAATTCAGGAAAACTTGGCTTATTAGGCAAATTGGGCCTTGCATAGTAGGACGAAAAGTGCGTTCTGGCTACTAGGTACGACATATATATATATATATATATATATATATATATATATATATATATATATATATATATATATATACAGTAATCTTACCACTGGTCCAGAGGTAGCATTAGCAAACAGTTCTCCTTCCAAGACCTCATTCCTGGGCAGAGGCTGACACCAATCATCACGATCATTTCCACGATCCTGCCACCGGCTGTTTGAGCTCCCACCTCCCGAGGAGCGATCGCGTTCATCTTCTATCCATCTAGTATTGCGAGGGGGACCATTCTGTCCCCCACCGTCGCGGTAGCGTTCTTCATAGCCCCCACTGGAAAAGCATGGCAATAAAAACAAATTAAAATTACCAAATTCTGAACTAAAATAATGAGTTTAACTAGGTAACCCAACCCACACGTGAAAAAAAGAAAAGCGACGTTTTACTCCATCTTAGACCCTTACCAAGTGAGTGTCTACAACTAAGGGTTCAGGACAGACCAATCATCATCACTTCCCCCTTTTTTTCTTACATATGGGGTAGATTATTAATTTTCAGCCATGTTATTATGATGTTAATTTTTGTCTACTTGCAGGCTGCAAACAGCACGACCTGGCCAGTCAAAGTCACCTTTGAAGTCTGGCATCAGGCCAGCCTGGGAGGGGAAAGTGTAGGAACTATCAAAATAATGAGTTGTAATGGAGTATAGAAACAGGTATTAATTCAGGCATAACTTTCACTAAATTATGCAACAAAAATTTACCAAGGTTATCTTGTTACCAATTATGTTATGACAAGGGGTCATAAGCATTTGTAAAAATTTTATGTAGAGAAAGTTTAAAACTGCAAATATCTAGTATCCATACCTTCGGTTTTCACGGCCTCCTCTCCATCGGTCATCATTCTCCCTGAAACGCTGACCGTCATTTCCTCGGAATCCACTATTTGCAGTGTTGCCTCCGCCCCCACCACCGCCGCCACCACCACTGCCACCGCCTCCACCACCGCGGTTATCTCGTCGTTGGTAGTTATTTGACGGTATATCCCCGTTCTTCCGTCCACCTGCAGTATGATCCGGCAGCCCAAAATGAAGTTATTTGCAACAATAATCAACAAATGTAGATTCCATAGACTGTGCCATGTAAGTCAACATTATCAAACATGACCACCTTCAATAATCATTCGGTAGCCAAATATATATATCACTCACTTATTATCTAAAAATGGTCACACACATTACAATAGCCATTCTCCACACTAATTATGTTACATTATTACATGAGCAATACAAAGCACACACTTGACACACAGCCACTTCCCTTACTCTCACCCATACAGTCAACACTCGACACATGACAACACAGCCTAAGGCAGTGGTTCTTAATCCTTTGGGAGTCACAGTTTGACAATCTAATGAAAGCTGTTGACCTCTAGCCTGTTAAGAAACACACAATAATGCCTTCAGTCTATATTGCTATCTTATCTTCAAAAGACTCAGAGGGGCACATGGACCACCAATTAAGAATCTCTGGCTGATAGCATAATGACTCAAAGGTGGTGTCAAAGGATAAAAAGTAGCCTAACTTGCATTTCAAATTTGTATGCATGTGTGTGAAAGTACAGAATGGTATACTGTATATAAACTTGAGAAAAGGCCACACAAGGGCGAGACCATATGTGCACGCAAACACGTTCATGTGGGGGAGAGGGGAAGTTCTGGATCAGGAAAGAGAGAAATTATATTTTAGGAAAAATAATTGTGCTTTAAGTGCTAGTGGTTAGAATAAGTTAAAAGAATATGCCCCAACAGAGATACTTGGTAGAGGAAAATAATAATTATACACAAATTCTAGTCTAAACTAGATACACATCTTTCACATTCAATTAAGGGAAGCATTCCCCATCCATCTTCCACCAATGAGGTAGTCTCCATATATGTTTTGAGAATGTTTTACCTAGAATAAATGCAGAATGTTATCCAAGTATTTTTGTTATCTTAATACATTCCAAATTATATAAAAAAGGGGTGAATATCAGGTCATACATGTTCCCAATGTATAGAATAACAATGTTGTATATACAACATACAGTGCATCCTTACTCTAACGAACCCCGCTATAACGAATTCCCAGACGGTCCGAACAAATTTCATTCGGTAGTAAATGTCCAGTGGAACAAACAAACGTTCGATTAAGCGAGGGTTGTTCGTTCAAGCGGCGGTGAGCAAAGCGTCGGAGATGGCTGTCATCAACTCTGATTCACCGAAGTGTAAACAGTTGTAGTGTTTTATTTGACTTGCCCATTGTTTCTAGGTTGAAGGATGATAAAATGGTCAGGTGGTGACATTGGCAAGGGTTAGTCAGTAGTTGGCATTTAGTGTCAAGGGCAGGTGGTGTCAGTGGTGGTAGTTGTTATCAGGGGAGGCAGGTGGTGTCAGTGGTAGTTATCAGGGGAGGCAGGTGGTGTCAGTGGTAGTTATCAGGGGAGGCAGGTGGTGTCAGTGGTGGTGGTGGTAGTTATCAGGGGAGGCAGGTGGTGTCAGTGGTGGTGGTGGTAGTTATCAGGGGAGGCAGGTGGTGTCAGTGGTGGTGGTGGTAGTTATCAGGGGAGGCAGGTGGTGTCAGTGGTGGTGGTAGTTATCAGGGGAGGCAGGTGGTGTCAGTGGTGGTGGTGGTAGTTATCAGGGGAGGCAGGTGGTGTCAGTGGTGGTGGTGGTTGTTATCAGGGGAGGCAGGTGGTGTCAGTGGTGGTGGTGGTGGTAGTTATCAGGGGAGGCAGGTGGTGTCAGTGGTGGTGGTGGTGGTAGTTATCAGGGGAGGCAGGTGGTGTCAGTGGTGGTGGTGGTAGTTATCAGGGGAGGCAGGTGGTGTCAGTTGTAGTTGTTATCAGAGGAGGCAGGTGGTGTCAGTGGTGGTAGTGGTAGTTATCAGGGGAGGCAGGTGGTGTCAGTGGTGGTGGTGGTAGTTATCAGGGGAGGCAGGTGGTGTCAGTGGTGGTAGTTATCAGGGGAGGCAGGTGGTGTCAGTGGTGGTGGTGGTAATTATCAGGGGAGGCAGGTGGTGTCAGTGGTGGTGGTGGTAGTTATCAGGGGAGGCAGGTGGTGTCAGTGGTGGTGGTGGTAGTTATCAGGGGAGGCAGGTGGTGTCAGTGGTGGTAGTTATCAGGGGAGGCAGGTGGTGTCAGTGGTGGTGGTGGTAATTATCAGGGGAGGCAGGTGGTGTCAGTGGTGGTGGTGGTAGTTATCAGGGGAGGCAGGTGGTGTCAGTAGTAGTGGTGGTAATTATCAGGGGAGGCAGGTGGTGTCAGTGGTGGTGGTGGTAGTTATCAGGGGAGGCAGGTGGTGTCAGTGGTGGTAGTTATCAGGGGAGGCAGGTGGTGTCAGTGGTGGTGGTGGTAGTTATCAGGGGAGGCAGGTGGTGTCAGTGGTGGTGGTAGTTGTTATCAGGGGAGGCAGGTGGTGTCAGTGGTGGTGGTAGTTGTTATCAGGGGAGGCAGGTGGTGTCAGTGGTGGTGGTAGTTGTTATCAGGGGAGGCAGGTGGTGTCAGTTGTGGTAGTTGTTATCAGAGGAGGCAGGTGGTGTCAGTGGTGGTAGTTGTTATCAGGGGAGGCAGGTGGTGTCAGTGGTGGAAGTTATCAGGGGAGGCAGGTGGTGTCAGTTGTGGTAGTTGTTATCAGAGGAGGCAGGTGGTGTCAGTGGTGGTAGTTGTTATCAGGGGAGGCAGGTGGTGTCAGTGGTGGAAGTTATCAGGGGAGGTAGATGGTGTCAGTGGTGGTGGAAGTTATCAGGGGAGGCAGGTGGTGTCAGTTGTAGTTGTTATCAGAGGAGGCAGGTGGTGTCAGTGGTGGTAGTTGTTATCAGGGGAGGCAGGTAGTGACAGTGGTGGTGGTAGTTATCAGGGGAGGCAGGTGGTGTCAGTGGTGGTGGTAGTTGTTATCAGGGGAGGCAGGTGGTGTCAGTGGTGGTGGTGGTAGTTATCTGGGGAGGCAGGTGGTGTCAGTGGTGGTGGTGGTAGTTATCAGGGGAGGCAGGTGGTGTCAGTGGTGGTGGTGGTAGTTATCAGGGGAGGCAGGTGGTGTCAGTGGTGGTGGTAGTTATCAGGGGAGGCAGGTGGTGTCAGTGGTGGTGGTGGTAGTTATCAGGGGAGGCAGGTGGTGTCAGTGGTGGTGGTAGTTGTTATCAGGGGAGGCAGGTGGTGTCAGTGGTGGTAGTTATCTGGGGAGGCAGGTGGTGTCAGTGGTGGTAGTTATCAGGGGAGGCAGGTGGTGTCAGTGGTGGTGGTAGTTATCAGGGGAGGCAGGTGGTGTCAGTGGTGGTAGTTATCAGGGGAGGCAGGTGGTGTCAGTGGTGGTAGTTATCAGGGGAGGCAGGTGGTGTCAGTGGTGGTAGTTATCAGGGGAGGCAGGTGGTGTCAGTGGTGGTAGTTATCAGGGGAGGCAGGTGGTATCAGTGGTGGTAGTTATCTGGGGAGGCAGGTGGTATCAGTGGTGGTAGTTATCAGGGGAGGCAGATGGTATCAGTGGTGGTAGTTATCTGGGGAGGCAGGTGGTATCAGTGGTGGTAGTTATCTGGGGAGGCAGGTGGTGTCAGTGGTGGTAGTTATCTGGGGAGGCAGGTAGTGATAGTGGTGTCAGCTGTCAGGGGAGGCAGGGATTGTGATAGTGGTGTCAGTTGTCAGGGTAGTCAGATAGTGATCAGTTGTCAGGGGAGGCAGGTAGTAATAGTGGTGTCAGTGGAGGCAGGTAGTGATTGTGGTGACAGTTGTCAGTGGAGGCAGGTAGTAATAGTGGTGTCAGTGGAGGCAGGTAGTGATTGTGGTGACAGTTGTCAGTGGAGGCAGGTAGTAATAGTGGTGTCAGGGGAGGCAGGTAGTAATAGTGGTGTCAGTGGAGGCAGGTAGTGATTGTGGTGACAGTTGTCAGTGGAGGCAGGTAGTGATTGTGGTGACAGTTGTCAGTGGAGGCAGGTAGTAATAGTGGTGTCAGGGGAGGCAGGTAGTAATAGTGGTGTCAGTGGAGGCAGGTAGTGATTGTGGTGACAGTTGTCAGTGGAGGCAGGTAGTAATAGTGGTGTCAGGGGAGGCAGGTAGTAATAGTGGTGTCAGTGGAGGCAGGTAGTAATAGTGGTGACAGTTGTCAGTGGAGGCAGGTAGTGATTGTGGTGACAGTTGTCAGTGGAGGCAGGTAGTAATAGTGGTGTCAGTGGAGGCAGGTAGTGATTGTGGTGACAGTTGTCAGTGGAGGCAGGTAGTAATAGTGGTGTCAGGGGAGGCAGGTAGTAATCGTGGTGTCAGGGGAGGCAGGTAGTAATAGTGGTGTCAGGGAAGGCAGGTAGTAATAGTTTTGTCAGGGAAGGCAGGTAGTAATAGTGGTGTCAGGGAAGGCAGGTAGTAATAGTGGTGTCAGGGAAGGCAGGTGGTGTCAGTGGCGAGTATAGACACACATCCAGCATAAGGCTTGTCTGGCCTGAGTGACCAGCTGACTGGCAACACCTGGCCGGCGCTGCATCAATGTTTCACTTACTCGCTGATTTTCATCAAATTAGCCGAGAAAACTTCTCTCGTCAATTTATTCAAAATTCTGTGATTTCACTTGATTGGGTTGAATAATGCTTATATATATATATATATATATATATTATATATATGTAATATTTGTATACCAATTTGTAAGGAATTAAATGCCAGTGAAAATGAATTCATAATAAATGATTTTTTTACTAATATTTATATCAAGACTGAGACAGTTGGCTTATGGAAATCCTGGCCATTACATCATAATTGTGGCCATTAATAATCGTCACAGTTATGATTTTGATATGGAATTGTTCACCAATGATTGTTCTATCTGTGACATAATTCAAAATGATATATACATTACAAATAGATTGTGATTTGTTTTGTTTGTAGTGGATGTAAGACTTGTTATTTTCACGTGGAGAGGAGGGATTCCCTGGGACCGACCACTGGAACGAATTGGCCTCGCCCCATATTGGACATTTTCAAGAGGAAACTAGATTTATTCCTCCAAGGACTGCCGGACCAACCGGGCTGTGGTGGGTATGTGG